CAAAGGCAATAAGGGTCCCCTGCGACAAAGAAGGCTGATTGATAAATTTTCAAACACTTTGGCCAGCTTTGGAGGACCTTATTTGCCCGAATATTTTGACTTTTCTAACTATAGTAGATTAATTTCTCCAAAATCCACAATGTAATTAAAAAGTTTGATTTGGTGTAGGTGTGATAGCCACGTACAATGTACATTGTAAATCTGTAATAGTGTTAAGATCATGCTAGGCACTCTTAGGTGGAGGCCAATACTTTTGAACACAACAATTTATAAGCACTTATAACAAGTAGACCCTTAAATACACAAAATTAATTAAATATCGAAACATCATATATATTATAAATTCATAACATTACGTAATGTTGTAATTATATTATTTTCATAAATTAATTGAATTAAAAAATCAATTACACATGTTATATAAAAGAACTCCCATAATTGTAATAAGATAAAGGTTAGGAATTAATTCAAATGTCCTATATATTTTGGAAAAAACTATTCCACGTATTCCATCCTGAATCTTATATTTTGGTGATGCCAACCATGCAATATTTTCTTTACCAAAGACCACATGAAACTTCAGCATGCAGTAATATTAATTAAAGGTTTTTTTAATATGTGTCTAGTATACGTTAAAAACACCTTTACAAATATATATATAAAAAATGTAAAATTAATATTATTTTAATTTTAATACTAAGTAATTAAATTTAATTAAATAATTAATAAATTAAAAATTAATTTTTATTTTTTAATTTAAAAATATAAACTTTTTAACTTTTTAAATTAAGATATAAACTTTAATTCTTTTTAAAATAAGGATACAAACTTTACATTCTTTTCTGTTTAAGGATTTATTGAATGGTAATGATTATATGTAGCAAATGATCATTTTAATCGAAATAGAACAACGTTTGTAATCTTAAATATTAAAAAAATTAAAGTTTACCGTCGGATTTAGAAGTTAAAATGTTTGTATCCTTATCTAAACATTTTCTTAAAGATTTTGTATAAATAAAAACATAACTTTTTAAAATGTTTCTAATTAAGAATATAACATTTTTTTTCTTTGCTAATCAGGATCATCACTTCTCAAAAG